AGACAACAAATTGAAAAATGGCAGATTTACACCCAGCCATATGGATAATCGCATTAAATGTCAGTGGTCTAAACACAGTTTAAATCAGTAATTGTGGCTTCTCAGCATGTGGATGCCTGCACCAGCCCCAGAACTCTCCAAACCCCATATGTGGGGGGTTATGGAAAGTTTTGTTACAAAGACATGGTTGATGAAATAAATTATTGGCTCTTGGCAATTAACTTAGTCTCCAGCCCCTCTCCACTCCATAGAGATGAGGGGGTGAGGCTGAAAGTTCTAACTCTCTAATCATACCGTGGTCTTTCTGGGAACCAGCTCTAACCCAGAAACTATCTAGGATCCCCCCGTCACTAGTCGTCTCTTCAGCAGTAAGAAGCTCTTGTGTCAGGAACCAGGGACCTGTCACCCCTGTCACTCATGAAATCATTGGGGTTTGAGGAGCTCTGTGTCAGGAGGCAAGACACAGGCCAAATGTATATTTTGTATTATATCATAGAGAGTGTTTGAACATTATGAGCAAGAAGAGTTCAACTCCATATAATATAGGCTTTGTAACAAAACAGAGAGCAGCAGGTTTTAAAGTTAGAATGAAATAAATGTCATCAAAGAATGACTGCCAGCAATATCTTGGGAAGGTTGCCACGCTCTAGAGTTTAGTTCTCAACTCTAAGATCCAGAAACTCTATTTTATAAGTGTGCCTAGAGTCAATCAGACAATCAACAAAAGATTCTTGCTAACCAGCTTCACACACAAAAATGTGTAAGGCACAGTGCCGGTTTGTGAATATGACAAAGGAAGGCACCGTTTTAGGAGTTCTCGTCTCCTCTGTCTAGTATCTCCCCCTTCTAGTATCAAGATAGCAGGGAAGCCAAATTAGTAATCAGAATAATTGAACAAAGAAAATTGAATTGTTTTAAGGATTAAAGTCATCTGCTACCGAAAAGCCTTGTGTCTCTATTTTTCTTTCTTTTTTTTTTTTTTGAGACAGAGCCTCAAGCTGTCCCCCTGGGTAGGGTGCAGTGGTATCACAGCTCACAGCAACCTCCAACTCCTGGGCTCAAGCAAGTCTCCTGCCTCAGCCTCCCAAGCAGCTGGGACTACAGGTGCCTGCCATAGCACCCGGCTATTTTTGGGTTGCAGCCGTCATTGCTGTTTTGGCAGGCCCAGGCTGAATTCAAACCCACCACCTTAGATGTATGTGGCTGGCGCCTTAGCCACTTGAGCCACGGGCGCCGAGCCTGTGTCTCTATTTTTCTAGCCATGACAATTTTGTGTCCTGCAGAGAGCATGTCTCTCCCTGGGTCCTGCTGGATTAAAAACTGTAACATTCATGCTCCTCTATTTCTAAATTCAACGCAACATACTCTTTTCTTCCCACTGTAGCTTAAGTATTATCTTCTTTAGAAACCTTTTATTGCCAAAGATGCACCAGGGTAAACCTGATACGATTTCAGTAAAGCCCTCTGCTTTATGCTTTGATTCTTTTGGAAACAGGCACTTTTTTAAAACGTCCTTTAAAGTAGAAGCCTTCTGCAATGAACTAGTCTCACCCATAATGTTCTAACTCTCCAAGAAAACTTTATCTGTGCCACCCCTACCTAGATCACTTGTAATGCTTAGAGAAAAACAAGATAGGAGCTTTTTCTTTTGGTCGAAGATTTTAGCTTTTGAATAATAAAAGAAACTGGTCGAAATCTTAGTGAATACTGAGTCTATGATGTAGTTTTTCTATTGCTTTCTGAATTTAAGTGGAAGAAAATAATGTTCCTATGTCATAATTATATTAAGTAAGTCGGGGATTTACATATACGTATGTAGAGTTTTTTCACCTTGCTGTTTTGATGTAGCTACATTATGCAACCTAAGGCTTTGATTTCACTTGCTGCCCTTCCCACTCACTTGATTCGTGTTTTAAGAATAATTTGAGTTGCTTGAGGAGAAGGGAAAGATTTGTAATGCATTCTCTTTAGAAATTACATTTTTTGCACATGAAAGAATGTGGTGCTTCTAAACAGAGCTTCAGAACAGTTGTAGCTTTGAAATTTTTGCTTCTTGTTTTTTAGATTAACTCATGGACATATCATAAAAAGGACTTAGGTAGGGCCTACTTGTTTTGACTCTGGAGCAACCTTGTGAAATTAGGCAACATGGTTTTTAATCATATTCTTTTGCACTGCACATATTTTTCAGTATGATTCTACCAAAGATAAGGAGCATGTCTTTTACTTACCCAGTTTCTATTCCAGATGTTCTCTGTCCTACATATAGTAAGATTGATATAAATGATGGTTAGTGTTTTCCAACATAGGTTTACAGTCTCATGGTCTTTTAGATATTAATAGGTGTTTGTTGAAAAAGAGTTTCATAACTGAACGTATTTTGGAAATACAGAGTTAAACATGCTCTTTAATTGTGAGTTCTCAGAGTCTTTAATATATTCATAACCCATAGTGGAGGTGGTGGTTTATAGTGTTTCTCAAACTAACTTGCCTGTGGAACCCTTTCTTTTGCAAAGTTTCTCAGAAGGGTGTTATTTATTGTGCAGACAACTTAGAAAAATGCAGATGTGAAATCTCTTTACTCAACTAGTTTTAAGTTTTCTGACAAGATGCTAAAACTTTAGCATCTGTTATGCTAAAAACTGTTGCAATGTGAATCTATTTATTAAAAGTAATGATTACTTTACCACATTGACTCTTTTATCTCTTAACTCTAGATACCATTTTGTGTCAACTTGAAGACTAAAAAATAAACTTTGGTTATAAAGGAAATACTTAGAGAATTGGCTGATCTCTGAAACTATGCAGTAAAAGAGAGAAGACTAAATAAAATTCAAATTAATAATCGAATTTAATTTGCTATATCCTATCCTACCTCTCCAAATTTAGTTATCTAAATCTACTGAAGCTATCAGTGTTTTAAAATTAATCTCTAACGTCTTGGTTTGCATCTTTGAAGTAAGAACTTGGAAGAGGGGATGGGGAATATATATGTCACAACTATACCTATTATAGTTGAGAAGAGCTTTTTAGGCTTTTATTTTATTTTGTTTTGTTTGCTTTCTTTTTACTTCTAGACACTGAAAAATACTGCTTAGCGTGGTTTGAAAATTTTTAGTGCTAGGTAATATTAATTCTTGAATGAAATATTAATACCTTGAATGTTTCAAGTCTAAGATTGAACATCCTAATTAATAAGAAGTGAACTACTTATTTATAAAATATCCTGGGGTTATTCTGTCTCTTAGGAAAAGATTTACCTGCAAATGTGAACATTCTCTGACCCTCTGTCTAATAAAGCAGCACTCTACAGAGACACACACACTATATTTTCTCCCTATATCGTTATCTAGTTTTATGTTTCATATATAATTTTATGAAATTATTTTTACCTATTGGTCTCTCACCTGCCTCACTCCCATACACTAGACTCAACTTACTGTAACTAAGGGCTTCATGTTGTTCCTTTGTGTAAGTGAGTTATGTCTTTTAAGTATTGGTGGTTATGGCTCGGCACCTGTGGCTCAAGTGGCTAAGGCACCAGCCACATACACCTAAGGTGGCAGGTTCAAATCCAGCCTGGACCCGCCAAACAACCAAAAAATAGCCGAGCATTGTGGTAGGCACCTGTGGTCCCAGCTACTTGGGAGGCTGAGGCAGGAGACTCGCTTGTGCCCAGGAGTTAGAAGTTGCTGTGAGCTGTGATGCCACAGCACTCTACCCAGGGGGATAGCTTGAGGCTCTGTCTCAAAAAAAAAAAAAAGTATTGGTTGTTATTCTTAATATATACTAGATACAAGTCCCTTATCAGATAATTTTCTGCCATTCTGTAGGTTTTTAATTTTCTTTTTTTCCCCAAGTTCATGAATCTTTATTTTTTTATTTCAGAATATTGGGGGGTACACATGTTTTATTTGCAAACTTTGTTTTTGTATGGATTGAGTCAGTTTGTAAGTGTGCCCTTCACTCAGTGTGCACTATACCCAGTAGGTGTGAATTTATCCAACCCTTCCTCCCCACTCCCCTTAGCTTGACTGTCATTGAGGTTTATGTCTATATGTACATGAAAGTATTGATCATTAGTTTCAACCTGATATTAAGTACATGTGTTCATTTCTCTATTCTTACGATGTTTCACTCAGAAGAATGGTTTCTGGTGCCATCCAGGTTGTCACAAAAGATACTAATCATCATTTTTTATGGCTGAGTAGTACTCCATGGTATGCATATACCACATTTCATTAGTCAATTTGTGTGTTGTTGGATACTTGTATTGTTTCCATGCCTTTGCAGTTGTGAGTTGTGCTGCTATAAACATTTGAGTGCGAGTGCCCTCTTTATCAAATGACCTTTTTTCTATGAGTACATACCCAGCAGTGGGATTGCTGAATCAAATGGTAGGTCTACTTTTAGTTCTTTGAGATTCCTCCTCACAATATTTCATAGAGGTTGCACTAGTTTGCAGTTTCACCAATAGTATATGAGAGTTCTTTCCTCTCCATATACATGCCAGTGTCTGTTGTTTGGGGATTTTTTTTTTCCATTGGAGTTAGGTGATATCTCGTTATGGATTTGATTTGCAGTTCAATGATGATTAGGGAAGTTGAATTTTTCATGAGTTTCTTGGCCATTAGTATATCTCATTTGAAAAGTTTCTGTTCATGTCTTTTTCCCACTTTTTGATGGGATTGTTTGGTTGTTTCTTGCTGATTTGCTTGAGCTCTTTGTAGACTTTGACTTTTTACTTTCTTGACAGTATCTGAGTTACATATTTTTAGTCCTTTTAATTCTTCTGTGGTTTCCATGTTTTCCCTGTTAAATTGTAAAATTTCAATTGCCAAATTCCATAAATCTGGAAGCTGCTGCCCCTTTTAGATCTTTATTGTATTTTTTGGAATTGCCAGACGTGGTATGCGTCTACTGAGGAATCTGTCTCCACTCAGCCAACTGGATTTCATTCTTGAAGAGACACTATGGTTTATGGGTCTCTTCTCTTACAGGTGAATCGATTTAGTAAAGTAGAAGACCGAGCGATCTTTGTCACTGACCGTCACCTGTATAAAATGGATCCCACTAAACAGTACAAGGTGATGAAGACTATCCCTCTATACAACGTAAGTACTGTGTGTTCTCTTGGAATATTCCTCTCCTGGTGGTCATGGATTGCTAATAGATCGATAGACTGACTTGTAGGATCTTGGGGCTTAATAGAGCCCATGAATTCCTGACGTGTTATGACAATCTTATGTTTTGTTCAAATGCACAATTTTCTATAAGAAAGATTCAAGGCATCCAAAAGATTAATGAAGTTTTTTTTTAAGTGCAAGTATTCTGGGTTCTGTATGAATTTTCTCTTTTCCTAATCCTACTTAACTACTTAAATGTGCTGGCATATAATACATTTTCTTATTTATTTTCGTAAAGTTTGTCTTGTGGAAATGAAATCAGGTAGAACGAACAGTAGGAGATTACTTTATGAAGACATTACTGCTCTTTGAAATGTAAAATTTATGCTGCCTCCAGAATTATTTTCACAATTTATTTTGTATACATTTAATTGCTGGTCTGTGATCTCTGACAATAAATTTTGCAAATTCATCCTGGAAAAAGTGCTACATACCTGATTGCTGAATATCACTACCGTCACCTTCAGAGTACTTCCCTTGGGAAGCTATGCACCAATGCCAATGCCTAGTCCACCCTTTGAAGCAACTTCGGAACTCTTTTTCTGGAATGGCCACCAGAGCTGACTTCATATTACCTTTAATGTCCTGAATATCATCAAATGTTTTCCTTTCAATATTTCCTTTATTCTCAGGTAAAGAAAAAAATCCAGGTAAGTAGGAAGGGTGTTCCAAAACAGTTAATTTGTTTACTGGCTAAAAACTTCCTCACTGACAGTGCTATGTGAGCTGGTGCACTGACATGATAGAAAGAGACACACCTTTCTCATGCCAAGATTTTCAGTTAAGATTTTCCTGTTTCCTGTTTCTCGGCTGGGCACAATGGCTCACACTTGTATCTAGCAGTCTGGGAGGCTAAGAATGTGCTCAGGCATTGGAGACCAGCTTGAGCAAAAATGAGACCGCATCTCTGCTAAAAATAGAAAAGCTAGCCGGGGGTTGTGGCAGGGACCTGTAGCCCCAGCTACTCAGGAGGCTGAGACAAGAGGATTGCTTGAGCCCAAGAATTTGAGGTTGCTGTGAGCTATGACACCATAGCACTCAACCCCAGGGCTATAGAGTGAGACTCTGCCTCAAAAAAAAAAAAAAAAGATTTTCTTGTTTCTCTATCGATGTTTTACTTGATCTGCTATATTCTCACAGTCAGCTGATGATTCTGACACAATTCAATGTATTTTTGCAGTGTTTTCATCAGTTCTGCTCATTACTGGTCTCCTTGACCTCACTTCATCAGTGACACTTTCTCTTTCTTCAGAAAACTGTTTAATCCATTTGTACACTGCCATTTTCTTCATAGCATTATCCCCATAAACTTGGACTAACTTGGAAAACATCCCTGATTTCATTTCCACTCTTGCGGAAATGAAGTTTAAGTTTAACAGGAAATTTAATGTTTGTTCATTGCTCTAATTAAGACTCTGCCATTCTTGAGACGGCACCCAAAAACGTGCAACAATGATAATAAACATCACTCAGTAAGATAAGACACCACCACATGTCAACACGCACACAACTGTGAGACACTGATGTGCCAAAGTTATGAAACTCACCACATGTCAACAGGAACACAACTGTGAGACACTGATGTGCCAAAGTTATAAAACTCACCGAGCCGTGTATATGGTGTTGCCAGCATAAGGGCACAGTGGCAAGTTCACAAACTTAATCCTCAGACCTCATAAATCCACTCTGTTGTTCACTACAACCATACAGTTTTTAAATTCTATAATAATTTTTTTATTTGAAATGTGAAGTTTGGTGGGTATCTCCTTGAATCTCAGTATAAGAGTTGTTTTTTAATTTTTCTTTCTTAATGGAGTCTGACTCACAAATGACTGTTCTGATTCTTCAGAAAGATCCTACGGGACTATGGGATCTTTCCATGTGTCAGGTGATTTTTCTCTGTCTGCCAGTTCTTCAAGAGGGAAGTCTGTGTTTATCTAATACTGGGATCTATGAGGAGTATTATTTAGGGATTATTTTAAGTCCTTATGGTCTCTGCAGAAGAAAAGAAGAAACAAACTGTTTTGAACTTTTGTTAAATCAGGGGTCCTTTTGGTAGTAAGATATAAAGAAGGCCAACTATTTGTTCCTGTTTTGCTGATTGATCTGGAATGCCCTGATTATGGGGTTAATCTTTGTCTCCACTCTGCACCTTCCCACTCACACCACACCACACGCACATACACTTTTTTCCCCCTTTCAATATAAAGACCAGTTGATTGCAGGTAAATCGAAAATATTCTTAAGAAAATATTCTAAAATATTTTTGATTGTATATGGTCTTCTTAGCAAAGATGTGTTTATCGTCTATCTCAATCACAGTTTAAGCCTAATAACCCTATAGTCTTGAAGGAGGAAATTAAGGATGATGAGGGAGAAAATTATATTTCGTCAGAGTCTAATGAAGTGTGAAACCAAACAAACGTGAACTGTGGTAGGCGTTTTCCTTCTTTCCCCTTGCTTTGTATTAAGAGGAGACCCATCAGGCACATGACAGATCCCATGAGCAGTTAATTCTTTGAAGTTATTTTTGCAGACAGTCTTTTTTTCACGTTGACTGGTTTGTATTTATAGCCACCATGTCCCTTCATCATCATCATTATCATTGTGAATATTATTAGTAATATCATATCATAAAAATTAGCAGTGCTTATTTTTATTTCTGTTAAATAGGACATGGAATTATAAGCTTGTGAGTGATGTCTGGCTGATAGTGTAAAACAGTGTCAGTGGGATGGATACACACTGTCACAGCTGCCCTCAGTGTTCCGCCCACATCCCCTTGTGTTCCTGTACCATTTTTTGTGCACACCAGCCTAATTCCCAACAGCCAACATCATTGTCAAAAGGCTGCCCTCGGGCAGCCAGAAGCCTCATACATGGAGGGCTGGAAGTGCCCAGCCACTCAGTGTGTGGCATTTCCTGGATTTCTGCAGATTGCCCCTACATCATTCCTTGGCCAGGGTCATTCCAGGCTATCTTAGGCCATTTCCTAGAGCTTCCCAGCAGGAGAAAGCTGCATGTGCCCCAGTGGTGGCTTCCTCCCCTTCCCTGAACCACCTCTCCAGCCCCTTGCCAGTGTCCCCACACCTCCCACACTAGCTCTGCCTGCCTATCAGCCTTTGTCCTGGGCTCTGCTTTCAGGACAAACTCACTTCCCAAGAGCAGCAGCCTCTTCAGAGGGAGCAACTTGGATGAGGTAGGGGGCTCCCAACTGGATCTGTAATCTTTCTTTTCTAAGTCTGAAGTGAATCTGACAAAATACTAATTCTAGATGGTGGAGACGTGCGTATTTGTTATATTATTTTTCATGCCTTTTTTGTGTGACTGAAATATTTTTAAATTAAAGACAAAGTTTAAGACAAGGAATCTGTGTTAAAACACGATGATACTAAAGATAGTGTTGGAGAAGCTGGGAGAGGATGAAGGAAAGTGATTTCCATTTTAACCATGTTGAGTGTGAGGTCCTAGTGAAAATTACAAGTATACTTTCCATGGATAACGAGAAATCTTATTCTATAGAGTAGGAGAGAATTCAGCACTTAAGATTAAAATTTAAGAGTAGGTCCATGTATAACTGGAGGCCAAAATGATGAGTATAGAGGGAGAAAGGGATGTGGATTATTCAAAAACATTCACAGTTAAGTGGTGAGAATAGAGAATCCCTGAAAGAAATGGAATGAAAGCAAATTTGTTTATGGTCCTCCATTCTCTCATCTCTCTCTTAATGTGCTAAATAGAGGGGCTCTAATTTCCCTTCAGTTCCATAAGTTTATGAATCATTCTAGGAAAGAAAAAAATAGGGGAACACCATGTTGCAAAATCAAATTGGAAAGTTTTCGGAAATAAGAGCAGTCAAGAAAAACACATAGCTTGGGGTACCCACACTTCCCTCATTCTCTGTCTTGCCTTTCTCCTTCTGTATCGGGTTCCTTTCTTATTTTCTTTAGGCTTTCCTGAGTTGTAAACAGAAACCACATGTTGTCTTAAGTCATGTTTTATTGTTAACAAGGATCCACATGGTAACAAGGGAATCTGCAGAAATCCAGGAAATGCCACCATTTGGGCGGGGCACGGTGGCTCACACCTTAATCCTAGCACTCTGGAAAGCTGAGGTGGGTGGATTGCTTGAGCTCATGAGCTTGAGACCAGCCTGAGCAAAAGCAAGACCCTGTCTCTACTAAAAATAGAAAAACTGAAGCAAGAGAATCACTTGCGCCCAAGAGTTGGAGATTTCTTTGAGCTGTGACACTACAGCACTCTACCCAGGCTGACAGCTTGAGACTCTGTCTCAAAAAAAAAAAAAATGAAATGCCGCCATTTGGGATTTAAGGAACTCCTGGGCCACACTTTCCTGCAGCCTCCCCTACAACCCGTGTGTTGCATTGGCTGAGTTTCTTCCATTCTTCCAGTCTTGACGTCTCTTTGTCTGTCTTCTCACTCACAATCACCTCTTTCTTGCCAGACAGCATGGGTCAGCCCTGAGCTAAGGGCTGAGTCAGTCACCCCAAGAAACCACAGGAGTTTCATCCTGCAGAAACACGCTGAACAGCCTCTCAAATGAGGCCTCACCATAGCAACCGATGCCACATGATCCAAAGTGGTACTTTTGTTGCTTGTCACACACTTGCAAATCCATGCACAGTCTTCCTGACTTTTTCTGGTATGACATGGATAACTCCTATTCATTTGAGTATAATGGATCTGTTCCCTCTACTATTTGTGACTGTCATCTTTGGCCTCATGCCACGTGTGGACCTTCACACATGATGCTGCATAGTGCAGTGAGTCGTCAGTCATTGGGTTTTCTTGATGGAGAGAAGTGCTTCACACAGGCCAGGTTCTTCTGGCAACCTAGGACCTGGCTCTTTCCAGCTACCCCCACTTCAATCACCAGGATCCTAGTCTGTGTCAAACAGGGTCTAAAA